TCTTCTTCTTCTTCTTCTTCTTCTTCTTCTTCTTCTTCTTCTTCTTCTTCATCTCCATATTTCTATTCTAAGTAGGGTCTTAGGAACATTAATAAGGTATCCATGAGACACAGCTAGCACAGTATATATCTCCAATTTAAGGGTCTGGTTCAGCTTATGAGACAGGATTTATTCTTGGTGGATACTCAGGTATGTTCTAAGGTATATCACTTATTTACCTGCTGTTTCTAAGCCATTGTGAAATGCTATTCTGCTCTTGCTGTCATAATCAGCATTTATTTCATTTTACTTAGCATTGATTTACAGAACTTATTAAATCAGTTCTAAAAATAAGTGTGTACAGAGTTCCCTAGAAAGTCTTAGAAGAAAATATAATATATATAAGTGAATTTTCTCAGTCCAGTAATCTTTTTATTTTTTTTTTTTAGAACCACGATCCATGGCTGAACCAGGTAAGAGGTCATTTGAAACTTAACCTTTCTCAGTCTCTATAACCTTTCTCTGCTCTATAAAATAAAGGTAATAATAACACTTACCTCTTAGTGTTGTTGAGAAGATCAAGTGAGACAATATATGTATTTTTAAAACCTTAAAATACTATGTAAATGTTAGCTATTGCTATTATCTCAGTTATCCATACTGTGGTGTTCCTGCTACCACAGCTGTATTTCTTTTTGAATCTAGGTGCAACTTATCCAGTCATTGCTAATAGCTATTGTTAGATGTGGTCCCTGAGTTTAAGTTGGTTATAATGTAGTATTACTCTTTCTTGGGAGAGCTCCCCACTTTGTGACATTTTCATATTAAAGGCTGGTCTCACACGGAGGACATTGGCTGCACTAAGTGATTTCAGGGCCCCTCTTAGAGTCTCCCACACTCAACCACTTAATTACAGAAATTTCATGATTAAAGATTCTTTTTACCCCTTAAAATATAAATACCCCAAAGGAAAATGATCCATTATCTTAATAGACATTAATACCTTAATGTGAGACGATATGTTGCATTCTTTCCTGGAGACCCATTTTGTTGGGGGAAAGGAAATATAAGATAAATAAAAAGTAGGGGACCAAAGGGCAGTTAGGTGGCACAGTGGATAGAGTACTGGGCCTGGAGTCAGGAGGACCTCAGTTCAAATCTGGCCTCAGACATTTACTAGCTCTGGGATCCTGGGTAAATCGCTTAACCCCATTTGCTTCAGTTTCCTCATCTGTAAAATGAGCTGGAGAAGGAAATGGCGAACCCCTCCAATATCCCTGCCAAGAGAACCCCAAATGGGGTCACTAAGAGTTAGACATGACTGAACAACAACCACAAAAGAGGAGACAATATGGAGAAGGGATAAGAATGTAGAAAGGAGAAATTGGACCTATAAAAATCAAACTTGACCTACTACGCAGTTTTGCCTTAGAAGTAGATGATCTTGTTCCTATGATTTTGTTATCACTAATTACTAAAGGTTCAAATTGCCCCTGTGTTATTTTTTTTAGACACATCTGTTTTTTGTTGTCAGGTCAACTGGGTGATAATGTCAGAGAACTAGGGGTTTGTGCTGTGCTTTTACCACCACACACCTCCTTGCCATCAGATATCAAGAAATGTCTGGGGGGCAGCTAGGTGGCTCAGTGGATAGAGCTCCAGCCTTGGAGTCAGGAGGAGCTGAGTTCAAATCCAGCCTCAGACACTTAACACTTACTAGCTGTGTGACCTTGGGCAAGTCACTTAACCCCAATCACCTCACCAAAAAAGCAAAAAAAAAAAAAAGAGAGAGAGAGAATAAAAAGCGGGAAAAAATCAACCAAACTGATTGATACCTCCAAAAAGTCTGAAAATCTGTTCAATGCACGAACCTCTCACCTCTGCAAAGGAGAAACTTTAGCTCTGGGATGCCAGACGAGCCACCAGTGTTCCTACGGGCAGCTCAGGCTCTAATGCACAGATCTTCATTGGCAGAGGGAAGGTTCCTCACTGAGAGCTCCCAAGACTGATTAAAAAATGGGAATAATACTCTTTCCCTTACCAATTGTACTTTTTAGGCTTGTAGTGAGAATTAAATGAAATAAGGTCTGTAAAGTTCTTGAAGTGGTGTGCTATAAGTATAGGAGTCAGAAGAGCTGGCTTCACCAAAAAGCAAAAAAAAAAACTAAAAAAAGGATAGTTTGGGGCAGGTATGTGGTGCAGTGGATAGAGCACCGGCTCTGAAGTCAAGAGGACCTGAGTTCAAATGTGGCCTCAGACCAAACACTTGCACTTACTAGCTGTGTGACCCTGGGCAGGTCACTTAACTCTAATTGCCTAAAGAAAAAGAAAAAGAAATGTCTGGTTCTAACTTCTACAACCTATATTAACATGGCCACAGTTGGTAATTGGTGCTGAGGCAGCCTGGTATAATGGAAGAATTTGAAATGAGAGGACATTAGTTCAGCTTAGCTATGTGCTGTCTGTGTAACTAGGGCAAGTAATTTTACCCATTTGATTCCATATCTTCAAAATGGAGAATTTGGACCAGATGGTTTCAAAGGGGCCTTCTAGCTCTAAAGCTAAGATTATGCTTTGTACAGTATAGTCATTCTCTATGTCAAAGAGAATTCTCTCAATTCAGCAATACATAAAGAATTATCTCAGCATTGCAGTGGAGGAATCCCTTCATTATTCTTTTCATCTAAAACATTTAAAGTACTCCACTAGGCAGAAAATGAAATTCTAAGAGGTTAACAAATGTTTATTTCTCCATTTTAGAATTGTGTCCTTTGGGGAAAAAATTGCCTAAAGAGTTATCTAGGACACCAGGGTGGAGATGAAATGCCTCAGATTAGAAACTATTCCATTTGCTTCTCTTAGGGGAATCCAGTCATCACATTTTTCTCACATAAGCGTACTCACATTTTCAGCTCTTGTGTGTTTGTGAGGACTTACGTTTGTTATTGGTTAGCCATGTTATTCATGATTCAGACTCATCTCACAGAATCCTAGAAATAGAAAATGGGAAATCATCTAGGCCAGCCTCCTGTCAATACATGGGCAGTAGTTTTGAAATGAATTAGCTAAATCACGCAGCCAACCAGTCAATTTAGTTCAATAACTGATTTGATAGATTTTGTTCTCATGAGATTGGCCAGTTGTTTGGCTAAATGGACTAATTCATTAAGTTGTCTTGGCATTATATAGGCATAGCATCAGACCAGTCATTTCTGGTGTCCCTTGAAAGTATGAATACTTCCAGCATTGTATCTTATCAAGAAGCACTCTCCTTTTCTGGTTTCTAGAGGAAATTTGTACACTGGTCATTGCAGAAGTATTCTCCGAAGATTCTGGGAATTTCACTTGTACGGCAAGCAACAAGTACGGCACAGTGTCAAGCATTGCCCAGCTGACTGTGAGAGGTATGGACTGATCCTAATGGGCCTTTTCACTTTAAAATGTCAGGGCAGGTTAGGCAGTGACATCAAGTATCAATGTGGAGATTAATGTTAGCCTCTCATCTGCAGCTGTCCTTGGTGTCTTTCATAAGTCATTGAATCATTGGGGAAGACATTCTTTGGACACATTCTAGTTATTGATATCCTCTCTCTTACTTCCTGAGGATAGAATCCCATTCCACATGCACCAGTTGTGCTCACTTCTATTATGCACAAAAGGAGACCCTCATCTTTCTAGTCTTACATAAGCTAGTCCTAAAATACTTCCCCAAATAGCGCCTTTTTTTTTGTTGCTACAGCATCATCACACTGTGTGCTTAGATTGAATTTCTAATCCTTTAAAGCTCTCGAGTTTCCTACATTCTTCTTTTGTGACAAGTGTTCTCCCATTTGCATGTCTACCTGGTAATATTTGAGACATACTGATCTTTGGAGTAAAAGAACATGTGTTCAGTTCAGCTTTGCCACTTACTAGCTGTGACTGGGCAAGTCACTCAACCCCTCTGAGACCTAGATTCTCCTGTGTAAAACAGGGATGCTAGGACACTACCCGCCTCAAAGGATTGTTGTGAAGATCAGAAAGAAATTTACATGTAAAGTGCCTTACTTCAGGCAATTTTTTTCAAGTGCTATATAATGTAAGATTTTACTATTCTTCAGTCTGTTGTCACTCATCTACCAAAGTATGAGTGTGTTATCATGCCTGTCTAACCCCTACCCAGGTCCACAAATCCTTAAGCCCAAATTCCATATTTTTTGTTCTTTAAAAAAAATATTGGATTGATTCCTTTCCGTATTTGTTCTTTTAGGGACTGAGGACCATAGCAATAATATGGCTCCCCACAGAGCCAATTCCACGGGCAACTCAACTGTTGTCGAAAACCAACCATCCCCACCTAAGCCAGAGCCCCGTTCCGTGGAACAACCCCCCAAACCCAAACTTGAAGGAGTTCTGGTGAATCACAATGAGCCCCGATCCAGCTCCAGGATTGGTCTTCGAGTACACTTCAATTTACCAGACGATGACAAAGCAAGTGAAGCATCCACCGAAGACGGAGCCGTGATTGCTGACCAGATCCCTGCTGACCTTTTACAGGATCGGTTCAATGGGCAAATAGCAAGGATACCCGAACCTTCTTCACCTGTCAAAGAGCCGCCTCCTGTACTAGCTAAACCAAAACTGTGAGTGAAAAGCAAAACGGCGAGGTGTTTCCTCTCTCATGCTTTCTTAAAATTCTAGGGTTGGGAAAGGGTTATACAGGTCATCTAGTCCATTCCTTTGCCTCCAAACAAATGTCGTGACCAAATTATGAGGTCATAGCTATAAATAGGGAAAAAAAATGTCTTTACCGTTTAAGGCCCCCAGGGAAGAAATTTCTATCACTTTGCTACAAAATACATTCCAAGTGTTTAACGACCTCTTTTGCTTAGGAGCTCTTCCTTCTGTCTCTGTTCTCTGGTTAAAGTTTAAGCTTTCAAGCAAATATAGAACAGCTGCTAGCTTTTTCTTAACATTTCCTTTCTGTCAATGGATATACTATAGTAACATTAAGTTCCCTATATGTGTAACAGTATTAAAGGTTTAGAAGAGTTATGCTTTAAAGGCAGGCCAGGATTTTAGATCTAAGATATTTCATAGAAATGCATAACAAGGAAGGACACCAAAAGTGCTCTAGGGGGAAAGGAATTGTTCATGGGGATGTTTTGTATTTCTGTTTTTGTCCTTATCTACTCCTCCACCTAGTTATCACTGGGGACAGAAGATTCTGGATGGGAATGTTGGGAGAGAAAGCTAATCCTTCTTCTTACCATCAAAGTTCTAGATTTCAGATTGTTGACATTAAGACTGGTCCTAGGCAAAGCCACAAGGGCAGCAGATTTTTTTCAGGTCCCCTCTATTTCTCCCTTTTTACATCTTCCTTACCTTCAGCACCGCATATTTCCCATGTTCTTGTTGGTAGCATCCCATCTAGGAAGTGTTCTACATGTGAGATGTACTCATTTTGTCCCACAAAATTTAACTGCCCAGCATCCCATTCCCTCCAAATTTTGCCCACAAAGGGACTGCCCAACTTGAAAAATAGATTATATCCACAGCATGAATGGCAAATAACTGATATACGTGTATGTGTATATATGTCTGTGTGTGTGTGTGTGTATGTATATCACACACGTATATCAGTTATTTGCCATTCATGCTGTGGATATAATCAATTTTTCAAGATACATATAAATATATATGTATATATCTCCCAAATATTTTAATTTTAACAGTGCCTTTTAATGCCATAATCAAAAGGACTTAGTAATAGGAAAATTTAAAGCATCATGGGAGAGATACTAGGGGGCAGGAAAATGTTTTCCAGCAGCCCTCAAAATATACCATATAAATGGTGGCCACCTGCTTACAAATAAGGAGAGAAAAGGAAAGGGAATAAACATTTACATGGCACCTTCTATGTGTCGGGCACTCTGCTAAGTGCTTTACATTTGATCCTTACAACAATCTTGGGAGTTAGCTGCTGATATTATCCCTATTTTACAGATGAGGAAATTGAGGCAAACAGAGGTTAAGTGACTTGCCCAGGTCATACAGCTAAATAAGTGTCCAAAGCTGGACTTGAAGTCAGGTCTTCTTGACTCCAGGCCTAGTACTCCATCCACTGCACCACCTAGTTGCCCGGAATTTGGCTCTGACCAGTACTTTTACGAAATCTTGGTTCTGCTACTCCTCTTAATCTTGGGGAGGGGGGAAAGAATAAAAATAGTAATAATACCAATGTATTTTCCATATACAAATATTATGCCCATTCTGAGTTTTCAGTGGTATTGATATTTTCACTAAACTTTTTCTTTACTTCTTACTCTGCCTTTCTTAGAACCAAAAGATCACATCTGCAAGACCCTCTGCTACAATTAGAGGTGTTGTCCATAGTCGTGAAGCAGTTTTCTCCATGTGAAACTAGTAGGAAAGAGCATTACCTACATGAGTCTGTTAGGCTCATTGGCCTAATTAGCATTCTATATGAAATCTACATGAATTCTAAACCAGAAATGTTTAACGTGTATCATTTTTTTTAGAAAGTTTTGACCCTTGTGGAATCTATAATACAGCAAAGTAAGGACTAATGTGCCTTTTGAAATTAAACAGATAACAAACCCAGGAACCATGTACTTTAACTTTTATTTGAAAGGAGCTAAAGGAGAATAAAACCACTTATCACTAAGAGACTCTGTAGCCCCTAGTTGTCATCTTTCCGAGAGGCCCACTGCTTACTTTCCATACCTTTTCCACGATATCATGATAAAATATCTCAGCAAAATCATCAGATCCAAATTTAATAAGACTGCAACATGCATAAGGCCTAAAGCTATTCTCCAATAAAAACCCTCTTTGTGGAAGATCAGATACAAAATATACTCTATGGAGTATTGCCTGTTTGCTAAAGTGAAGAAATCTATTAACAGTAAAAAGTTGTATGCAGTCACTCTCCTAGACTGAACATGCTTCTTCCAAAATAGGAAAAGGAATTCACTGACCTAGGAATGCTGGACTAGGATGCAGGAGGCCTGGGCCTAGCTCCTACACCCCCAATGTGTGGCCTTAGGCTTTTGAATCATTACACCTTTGGGGACTCAGAGTTCCCTTATCTGTAAAATGGGGAAGGAGAACTCAGTGATCTCTCTGGTCCCTTCCAGCTCTGAGGCTTTATGATTCACGCAGTTAATGCTTGTTAACTCTTCGTGCCTTAATGCCTCATGAATGCACAATTGACAACTTTAACACAATCTATCTCTGGGCTGACAATGAATAGAAGTCAGAAGATGCCTCTGTTTCCTGAGCACCTTTTTTTTTTGTGGTAAAGGATAGATTTATTGAGTATACTGGGAAAAGGAAAAAGTGATTGGTGGCGCACCTGAGATTTCTGAAATTAGAAAGCTATGGGTTAGTCTTGGTATTATGGGCTTCCAGAGGGCTTAGGAAGAATATGCATTCTGAACTCAGTGTATTAGCTCAGGGGCCTCAAAGCACTACAGGTGTAGTTGTCCTTCTGCCCGCCAGAGGTTTATACTCCTGACCTATTTAGGCACCTACAGTTTAAAGCGCCATCCATTCTTCTAAAAAAAAAAATTTACTCTCTGGGGAGAAAACTAATCATTTGTTGTGTTATCCAACAACTATTATAAAGCTATTCTCATTAGAGGATCTATGTGTTACCTCTGTTCCTCATTTTCCTATAAATGAAAAATGTACTCCCTTTTCCCTGACAGGGGTAAGGAAAGTAAGCCTGAGATAAAATTCATAAATCTTTTTAGTTCCTAAGAGATGAAAAATATGTATTTAAGAAGCAGGGAAAAAGAAACACAAAGGGGCAGCTAGGTGGCACAGTGGATAGAGCACTGGCCCTGAAGTCAGGAGGACCAGAGTTCAAATCCGGCCTCAGACCAAACACTTGACACGTACTAGCTGTGTGACCTTGGGCAAGTCACTTAACCCCGATTGCCTCACTAAAAAAAAAAAAGAAAAGAAAAAAAGAAAAAGAAACATAAACACTACTAACTTTTCACCTATGTAAAAGAGGAAGCATTTTGAATACAAGGCAGAATGAGAGTGATAGAAGATTCCCTTACCTTAGGGACTCTTCAATCCATTTGCAGCTAAGTCCTTTCTGTCCTAGAGTCTGAGGTGTAGGGTGTTAGTTTCCACACTGCCAATAAGAGGATCATTGTGTTTCTATGGCCATAAATAGTAACTATAGGAAGGTGGAAATGTCATCACTTCCTCTACTAGCTGAGTAAATTTCCAAATGGTTGGATTCAATTATCCTTTAACAGCCTTGCAAATTGGTACTAACATTTCCAGGCTCCTTCCTACACTTATCAGTATCTCAGCAATGATATGGCAGTTCTGAATAAGAATCAGTAACTAAAGAAGTAAAATGTCAGAGTTGTCCATAATATCCATTTTTAAAATTTTTATTGAATAGTTTATTTTTCCACAGTTACATGTAAAAACAATTTTTAATGTTCATTTTTAAAACTTTGACTTTCAAATTCTTTCCCTTCCTCCTACCCCACCACTCCTTCATTGAGAAGACAAGCAGTTAAATATAGTGTTTAGTCATGTTGTGAAAGAAAACATAGACCCCCTCAAAAAAAACAAACTTCGAGAAAAGGTAAAAAAAAGTACGCTTCAATCTATATTCAGACACCATCAGTTCTTGCTCTGGTGATGGATAGCATTTTTCATTATAAGTTGTTCAGAGTTATTTTAGATCATTTTATTGCTTAGAATAGCCAAGTCATTTACAACTGGTCATCTTATAATATTGCTGTTACTTTGTACACAGTACATTTCACTTTGTATCAGCTAATGTAAGTTTTTCCAGGTTTTTCTGAGAACATCCTGCTCATCATTTCTTGTAACACAATAGTATTCCATCATAATCACATACCACAGTTTGTTTAGCCATTCTCCAGTTGATAGGCATCCTCTCAATTTCCAATTCTTTGCCACCAGAAAAGAGCTGTTATGATATTTTTGTACATAGGTCCTTTTCCTTTTTGTTCTTTATCTCTTTGGGGATACAGACCTAACAGTGGTATTGCTAGGTCAAAGGGTATTCATGGTTTTATAGCCCTTTAGGCATAGTTCCAAATTGCCCTACAGAATGGTTAAATTAGTTCACAACTCCACCAACAATGCATTAATGTCTCATTTTTCCCACATCCCCTCCAACGTTTGTCATTTACCTTTTCTGTCCTATTAGCCAATCTAATAGGTATGACGTAGTGCCTCAGAATTGTTTTCATTTGCATTTCTCCAATCAATAGTGAGTTAGAGCATTTTTTCATATGGCTATAGATAGCTTTGATTACTTCATCTGAAAACTTTATATCTTTTGGTCATTTATCAATTGGGGAATGGCTCTTACTTTTATAAATTTGACTCAGTTCTCTATGTTTGAGAAACAGGGCCTTTATCAGAGACACTTGCCTCAAAATTTTTTCACAGTTACTATTGCTAACTGTATTTTCCTCCACTCTGTTCCCCTCTCCCCTGTATTCTATTCTCTCTCTCCTTTCACCCTGTCCCTCCTCAAAAGTGTTTTGCTTCTGACTACCCCTTCCCCAATCTGTCCTCTGTTTTATCACTTCATCCCTTCTCTTATCCCCTTCCC